TACTAAATTATATTGTATAAAAATCGCAAAAATTCAATCTTAAAAAATCCAAAAATCCCACAAAAATAAGATTGTAAATAAATAAATAACTCTGAAAAAGAAGAAAGCTTGCAAATACATGCATGAGAGCCTAAGTGTGTGTGTGTGTGTGTAAGGGAAGAGGGAGAGATGGACGGGAGAGGAAGGAGGGAGAGACAAAGAAGACCACATATGCTGGAGGAAATGTCTAATTGTTGAACCCCTGTCTCACATAGAAGAAAGTCAACAGATGATATAAACTCTGAAAACCAGAGGGGAGGCCATTTAGAAATCAGCTTAATTAACTGATTAATTGGAGTTATTTATTGGAGTTATTGCCTGTGGCATCCAAAGTGAATGGACAGTCTTCTAAGAACCATAATTCTAAGATGTTATTTTAAATATATGTATAATTGTTATTAATATAAAAAGTCAAGTTTGAGAAGAATTTGAGATTTTGAGTTTTCAAGCTGTTTCTATGGTTCCTAAGCAGATTCCCTGGAGGGTCTGTCTAGTAAAGGGCTCAGAATGGCTACACACTGGCCTCAAACCTCTGCTGAAAAAGCCGAGCCTTGGCCCTGTCAAATGATCCCTTTGAACAAAAGGCTCCACAGCAAAACAGCAAGTTAGCAATGTGTTCGCAGCTGTGCCTCATCTGGAGAAAACCTGTTCCCAAATGAGCAAGCTGGATGTGATGACCACCTAACCCCATCAGGGCTGCCCGTCAACTGCCAAGTCTTTGATCACCCAAACTAAGCTGTCCTATTTCTATCCCTGGATACATCTTAAACACTCAAATCAGAAACAATTGGGGTCTAAATATGGATTCAAGTTCGATTTTGAAAATTCATTCAGGATTTGAATGATGATATTAAATGTTTGATTTTGCACTAGAACCAGATTCTACCTAGTTCCTAGAGAGGTATGTGACATGCCGTATGCTGACAGAGGTCCCCAAGTAACATAGTAGAAAGTGCTTCCCTTCGGCCAGTGTGAGGTAAGATGTCTCATTTCACCCAGAGGTGGATATGGTTATGATGAACAGCTCCAATAACACCCCAGCCTACAGGAATTGTATACAGAATTCATTTCTTAATTTCTATTTAAGTGATTCTGCTTGACTTATTTTACTTAGTATAATGCCTTCTAGATTCATGTTGTCACAACTAACAAGTTTTCTTTTAATGAGTACATAATATTCCATCCAACTATATAAGATATAACTTATTAATTCCTCTCTTGATTCATACTTTCACATCTTGGGTTATTGTAAATTGGCAAAAAATAAATAAATAACGTGAGTGTGCAAGTGTCTTTTTAAGTTCATAATTTCACCTTCCTTAGAAATTCACTCCACAGAGACATTGTTGGACTTTAAGTTGCGTGGCACTTTGTAGTTATTTATTTGAAGTTGCGTGGCTTACGGTTATTTTGCATCAGTTGCAAGGTCCCTTCTGTTATGCTGTTTGTGTAGGTGGGTTTTCTACTGTCTTGGGTAGTAATTACTTTTCTAACAACCAATATTCACAGTTATTGGCTTTCTTTAGGGAAAATATCTTTATTCTTGCATTGATACTGTGTGCCTCTTTTGCTTTTTTTATTAATTCTTTGAGAATTTTGTACAATGTATTTAGATCATATCCACCCAACTTCCCTACACCCCTATTTTTGTGTCATCGTTTTTTTAAACCTATGGAGTCCAATTTCTGTTGTTCATGTACTCTTTAAAAATAAATGACATACAAAAGACTTTTAAAATTCACCCACCAAACCACCACCTGGAGAATACTATCTCCCTTCTCCAGGCAGTGGGGGCTGAGAACCCAATCAGGTCCACTTGCTTTTGAGTGACTCAGATTTGCACGTACATGAACACCTCACAGATGAGCTGAGATGGGAGCAGAACCATTATTTCCTGCTGTAAGACGCTATAAGTACTGGTCCCCGCCCCCCCACCTCCCATACGCCCCCCACCCCTTCCCCTGGCCAGGCCAATGCTGGAACAGCCTGTTTCCAGAGGACACAGCAAAGATTGACTGCTTATTCTTAGAACGTTAAGGGTATCTGATTTGCCGGTTTGCGTGCCCAGTGTTCTTTGGAAGCAAGCCCTGGAAGATTTGCCGGTTATGTGCCTGTGTTCTTCAGAAGCGAGCCCTGGAAGCTATTTCTCTGATCAGTCCCAAGTCTCATGCTAGTGCTTACAAAAGAGAAAAACAACATTTACTCACGATAAAGACTGAGTTCCAGCCATCATAAATCTTATCAATTGCCTTGTGAAGGTTAGTGGAGGAAAGAAGAAAATCATTTCATTGTGTTCACTTGACCTTGACTCTGATGAAGGCTGCAGTGGCTGTGGCACAGTGCTCTGGAATTTCTAGAATGTGTGGAGATGAAAGTATAATTAGGGATGAAGCTGGAGATTTTACTTTATTCTTTTTGACCATAATTCACTTGACTAAGGAACATTATACTCTAAAGAATAACCAGTAATGATTCAATTAACACTTGTTACAGTTTATTAGTCAATAGGAAATACAAGGATCCAACATCTACATTGTTTCTCAGTATTTTGTACAAGCCAACAAGATCAGCATAAGTGATTTCACCAAATATCTGTTAGGTTAGCATGTAGAGCCATTTGGGGGCTCCAGCAAGCTGCGTTTTACACAATATATACTTCATATAATCTCAGACCATTGCTCAAAGACAGAGATGTTTGTTGTAGAATTATTTAGAAAAATGCAAATAATTTTACCTAAAAGTTGGACCAGCATATGGCCAATTTCCACAGGTTAAAATACAAACTTCACCCACACGGTTTTCAGTTTCAACAAGCATTTCCTGAGTACCAATTTTTTAATACTATATATTTAAAGACACGACAGAATTGAGCATTGTGCTGACCAGGAACCAGGGCTGTCCAAGAAGCCCAAGCTCTCTTCTTAGTGCAGTTTAACTTTGAGACCAGCCTCCCGGGGAGCCATGTGCTTGGTTAAAGGAAAAGAAAACCAGGGACAGAGACAGCTGCTCTCTGTGCCATAGAGTTAGTTTATTTATTTGTGGACTGATGTAAAATTTCATAAATGCTAGTACACTGTGGGCTCTAAAGGAATATTTGCTGAGACCCAAAGAGCTGTTGTGTGAACATGTATATTTGAACCTACACAAAGGGGTTAGAAAATTGTGGATAGCCCCATCTATCCTGTACTTTCCTGAGTCAGCTGTGGGAATAAGAAGAAAGTATTTTCCTCCTCCTTTTCCTAACTTTACATTTTTTGCTTAGCTCTCTGGTGTTGGAGTTTGATGAAGGAGCGAGCAGTTGGTAGGCCACCAATACACATGGCACCAACATATCAGTGAAATAAACTCATAGTGCAGTAACCAGTTATGTAAGACTTTATGATTTCTTAAGATTATGTTGCTCTAGATGTGGAAGATTACCTAAAAAGTAATAAATCCACAAGAACACAAAGCTGTCTTCTAGAGTTAACCATTTGCCACTGAATATTTTTGAGATGTCAGTGTGAGTCCCAAGGAACAGCTGCAGCCTCACCACCATGAGCCCAGCCAGCTGACATTTGTGGAGGGCTGGCAACCCTTGGAGCTGTGACGTGTCCAACAGGCGAGATTATAATGCTTTTATCAAGTCTTTGAAGAAGTTGTGTTGTCCATCAAGTTGCATGTAATACACTCACTACTTTGAACACAAAGAAGACATTTTCAAGAGCAGAAGACATTTTGATCCCAGTAACAAACAAATGTTAATCCCAGGTTATTTGTGCTGACTTAAAGGGACTGGCCCATTGCTAATCCTTGCCAGACTCTATTTGATGAAAGGTAACTTTTCTCAAGTTTTTCCACTCGTCTAAACATGTCTCCCTTTCTCTCATTCTCTCTCTCTCTCTCTCTCTCTCTCTCTCTCTCTCTCTCTCATCTGCTCTCAAGATTTACAAGACAATCGAGATAGAAGCTGGTCTTCCATACTCTTGCCCCGCGGCCTGAAATATGAGACTTCAGTCAACTGAAATCAATTTTACTATAAGCACATTTGTCTTACTTCTAAAGAAATCCACCCCTTGGATGTTGTTCTCAGAACATCTTGAAGCACCGTTGTGGCTTTTTCTCCCTCGGGTCCCAAACAAGATGTTTCCTGATGTTTAACAAAAGTTCCGGTATCTTTTTAAATTAATTTTATTTTATGTGTATGAATGTTTTGCTGGCACCCATGCATGCAATGCCCACAGAGGCCAGAAGAGGGTGTCAGACCCCCTGGAACTGGAGTTAAGACCGTCGTTAGCCATAATGTAGATTCCGGGAACCGAACCCAGGTTCTGGAAGAGCAGCCAGTGCTCTTAACTGCTGTGCCATCTCTCCAGCCCAAGTTTTGGTATCTTGCTATTTTACTGGAAGCATGGACATTCTGGGTAAAATATACAGATTTTAAAACAAACGCTGCTCCACAATAAAAATGTTTTTCATGTCCCAACGTAGCTCGTGGACTCTCCAAGTTGTGAGATGTAAGTCCAGCCGAGTTTCTTGCTTGCTTGCTCGCACGGTGTTATCCCCAGGAAGCTTGTTCTCACAGAGCCTTGGCTGCCTGGCTCCCTGCCCCCAGGAATGCCACTCAGAGAACATTCTTTTTCAGGCAGCCAAGTTTGGAAGTCAGTTGGTTCTGGCAGTGCGTTGGGGGAGGGCAGGGGAAGCCGGCAAGTCCTCAGCTGATCTTCATCGTCCAAGTGTTTCTGCAATCGCGGTCAATGAAAACATTTCCTTTTACCCAGGCAGAGACAGGTAAAAGACAGCTGGGTAAATCAGCTTTAGATGAAACAGCGGAAGCTCCCTGGGAGGGAGGGCGGAGGGAGGGTCTTGGAAAGCCTGCCATTGGTGCGTTTACCAAAGGCATCTGCCAGTGGGGCTTCAGTGGAATGCGAAACCAAATCATTTTCAAGTTAAAGATAGACACAGTGTACGCCTGGGTCTAGAAGCCGGTTTGTAAACGCCCATCTCTCCCTAGAATTTCAGATAGTTCGGTTATGATCTCAGGGGTAATTAGCCATTTGGTTAAAGTCCGTTCTCTCCCTGAGTGTGCGAGCAATCCCCCTGCGTTCTGGGTGAACTGGAATTAAAAGGATTTCAGAGAGGATGCTGTGCCTGCTGCTCCGGGGTAAGTGAAAACGTGGGCTTGAACGTGCATCTCGGGAAGGTGGGGCTTGACTTTTGCTTTATGGTTGGGATGAATGAAAAAGTGCTCATGAAGATTTCGTCCTGTCTGGGTGCCACTTCCCCTTTGAGAAGTAGGTGGCTTTATACATTTTGTGTGGCAGAATGAAATAGAGTACTTGTGCTTGGTTTTAAAATTTACATTGCAGGGTTGCTGCCCATCTCACCGTTCTTTTCCCTGTTAGCCCTTAAGCACCCAGGGCTTATGGAGAGAAGGTGCCAAGAGTTATCTACCCGCAACCAAACTGAAAGTTACTCTGTCCTTTATGCCAGTGGATGGGAGGACACTGGTGTAAGAGGGAGCTGTTTCCCTAGCACAGCACTGTTTTCAGATTTAAAGAATGAAAACAAAAGTTTCAAGGAAAGAAGGGGAGGCGTTAACCCTAATGGTTCCCTTAACGGTACTCTAACAGTGTATTAAAAAACGGTTAAAACGAATTCTATCTTTTAAAAAGCAGCAGAGAAACAGCAGGTAATTCCCATCAAAGAAAATTTATTAATAGGACTTGTTTGGGGCATTACCTCATTAATTCCAAGCAGGTTCCTCTTCTCCAAAAGAGCTGATATTTGCTAAGTGAAGGGAGGTGTCCTGATTCTAAAGAGCTTGGGAAAAGAGGGAGAGGGAAAGAGTTCTTAGATCTGTGCCTGCCACACTGTGTTTTGAGTATTTGAAAATGTTTCTTCATGAAAAGAGAGAAGGGAAGCTTCCTTTCCTCACGTTTTCGTCCATGTATAGGTTTTGTTTCTTGTTCGGTCAAATGAGTTCCCTTCTCCTAGCCACGACTTTTCCAAACTCGCACAGCATTCCTTCTGAATAAATATTGTCCATAATAGTCACAGAGTACATGGTGTGAATTGGAAGTTCTCCTTTATATGGGGAAAACAAACGTGCTGACGCTCTCCTCACAGAATGTGGGGCTGAACAGTTGTCCAACCTAACTGACTAGCTTTTGCTTTGCAGAGTGGACCAGACTGAAATGAAATTGACCGGAGCAAACAATGAGTGATTTGATACAGCTCCTTTAGGCGACTTTGATGATAATAAATAGAGGGCTACGTGACTCTTCCAGTGTCCACGGTGGGCACAGGAGTGACAGAGTTGCGTCTACAGCTGCTGAGCAGTCTGGCTAAGACAAAAAGACATGATGTTAGCGGAGCCCAAGATTGGTCTGTCCAGCCTCATCTGTCCACTTTCCCCTCCTGACTTCTCTCTCCCTCTAGATCCCTATGAAATATTGCTTAGTCCCCAAGACCTGTTTTCAAGGAAGAATCTGACTAGTGAGAGTTTTAAAGTCAGCCTCCTGTCTATTGTGAATAGTTGCATTTTGGTAGAAACATCTGTCCCTCAAAGAGTTTAGGCAATTTGTTAAATCATAGCTAATCTTTAGTTATATCTGCAGTTAGCCTATTAAATTATAAAAATTTCAACTAAACTTTCCTGTAAGCAGATGACACCTCACTAAGTTTCTCCTGGTTATGTCAGATGACTGGTAATATTATATGAGAGACTGTCCTGAACATGAGTGAAGCCCACAGAGATTTTAAGTACTTCCAGGAAGTTGGTGAATGCTTGAAGCCATGCACAGTATACACACAGACACAAGTCTGTCATTTGTATTCCCGGCTCAATTATAAAAATTATGTTATGCTTGTTATTTGGTTTTCAGTGTGTAAGAAGAAAAATACAAAATTTGTCATTCTACTATGTAAGAACTTTAAACTATGCGGTCAGTACTGACAAGGAAAGACACAAACATTTCTCTACTAGTACTGTCACTGTCCCATGACAAAATTCAAAGTTTGGCTTTGATTCCTTTGAACAAAGTAAAGGTCGTTGTCTTGTAAATATGTCTGCTAATTTTATCTCAAGTGTTACTGGATGTTTCTAATATTGCTGCTCCTTCCTCTCCTGTCGCAGTCACAATGCCCTGTCTTCTCAGAACCTTATATATCTTTGCTTTATATGGAAAATACATTCTGAAAATTACTTATAGAACCTGGCATGGTGGCACAAAACAATAGGCCCAGCCCTTGGGAATAAGAGGCAGGAGGGTCCTTACAAGTTCAACGCCAGCCTGGTCTACAGGCCAATCAGAGCTACTTAGCAAAAGGCTATTTCAGAATGAATGAATGAATGAATGAATGAATGAATGAATGACAAAAATAAACTACAAATTATAAATGATTTGTAAGTAACAGAGACCTAATGAGAATGCTGTGCTTCTGCAGAAAGACTTTGGTTTGCCTCTGCCAGGCAGTGGGTTGCGGACTAGACTCACCTTTCGCAAAGTGCATGCTGAACTCTTCAGCTCCTCTGTGACAGAGCTAGGCTGTGATTTATGTGTGCAGTGGAGCATTCTAGGTCCAGTCTTCCCTGAAGGAAGGTATGGTCTTTCCATATCAAGAGTACCCACTACCAAAGATTTTTGATTTTCCAGGAGGTCTGTAAGGCAACCAGAAGAAATTGTTTCCTCTGGTCTATTTTTTTCCTGATAGTCATGTGCTCAGGGGAAAAATGTTGAGCTTTTATAGTTTGGCTTACCTAACTCCTAATTTATTTTATTTTATTTATTATGTGTGTGTGTGTGTGTGTGTGTGTGTGTGTGTGTGTGTGTGTGTGTGTGGGCATCCACCTTTACATGGATTCCAGGGATAAAACTCAGAGCGCCAAGTTTGCATGGTGTATTGGTTAGCTTTTGCTGCTGTGATTAAATATCATGATCAAAAGCAACTTATGGAAGAAAGAGTTTATCTGAGCTTACAGTTCCAGAGGGAGAGTCCATCATCACAGGGAGGCCTGGTGGCAGGTGGGCAGTGGTAGGAGCAGGGGCCTGAAAGAGCATACCTTCAGTTGCAAGCAGCAAGCAGAAAGCCAACTGGAAGTGGGGCAAGGCTATGAACTCCCAAAGCCCATCCACAAATGACTTCCTCCAGCAAGGCTGCACCTCCTAAAACTTCCAGAACCCTCCAAACAGCACCATCAACAGGGAACCAAGTGTTCAAATACATAGACTGATGGCAGGTGGGGGGCATTTCTCATTCAAAGCACTACACAGGGCAAGCCACTTTATCCACTGAGCTCACTGGTCCCTGATTTATAAATTTTCATTTACTAAATTTTCACCACGTGATTGGCTCTATGCTGGTTTTGTATATCAGACACTTTAACTTACTTGACTAGGAATGTGAGTGCAAGTGTCCATGTTGTGACTATTCCCAGGAAATGAACATTCACTTGGCTTATAATCTTCATCCTAGAAAAGATATCCGAGTCTTTGCTGCCACTGATTTCAGGCAGTCTTTCTGATTCGTTTTCTCTTTTACTTTCTAGCTGTAATCTGATTTAAGACTTTCTGTAGAAAATGGCATATGCATACTGACTGAAATGTTTGTGTTCTCTGGCTTGGCATGAACTGTCTACAAACATAACAATCCTTTTATCTGTCCCTATCTGGCCACTTTCCCTCTTAATCTCTTTAGTCTCTAGTCCACCCACTATCGTCCCTTCAGCTGTCCACAAAACTTGACTCTTCCAATCTATTCAGCATTACCACATCTTTTTAAATTATCTTAAGTGAATTCCTTCCCTCCTATCCTCTCTGAAACTGCCCTGCCGCAGTGTCGTCATCTAACTTGGTTGCTGCTCTATTTTTAGTTATTCTTTCTTCTGGGCCACAGACACAGACACAGACACAGACACACACACAGACACAGACACACACACACACACACACACACACACACACACACACACACCTGCACAGATGTCTCTCATATTGAACAAACACATTTGTCTTCTAAGGACCATAGCTGCCCAGACCACAGATCTCCAGCAGCTCAGTATCCCCTTTAAAATAAAGTTCCAACTTACATCTTAGTCTCCTTTAATTGTATAGCATTCGCCTACCATTCCCAGCCAAGAATTACACGGATTGTGCCTTCTTTATTTATGTATTCTCAGTAACTGACACATAGAAACCACTCACTACATGTTTAAGGAATGATCAAGTGGCTGTTCTGAGGACTACTATTCCTGAAGATTTCCTTTTTTATATCTCCTTACTCTTTTCTGTCTGAATGCCATTACTCTTTGGACCTTAGTGTAGTCGTCATCAATGGTGCTTTATGTCAAGAACAGTTAGTAAAGGAAATGTTTGATTATCAGGTGGGGGTCGTTGTTTTGGATAAATGGGATCAACTCTAATTTTATTGCCAAATGAGGGAAACCAATGACAAGACTGATGAGGATTTGAATTTGATCCCTAGAATCCACAGATAAAAATCCAGGTGTGCCAATATGCAAATGTAATCTCAGCTCTGAGGGGGTAGTCTGATTGATCCCAGAGCTTGTTAGCCAGTCAGCCTAGCCTACTTGAAGAATCCCAGGCTAGTGAGAGTCCTTAACACACACACACAAAGTAGTGGGTGGTACCTGAGAAATGACACCCAAGGATGACCTCTGGCCACCACATGCATATGCACACACATGCACACACACACGGACACACACACACACAACATCATCATCATCGTCATCATCATCGGGAACATTGAATAGCACAACAGGAAAAAGTCAGTCAGATACAAGTAAATTAAAATCATCATTTTGCACACTGTCTGATCATTTTGCACACTGGGTTTTCTAATCAAACACTGGGTTTTATGTGATAAAACATTGTAACCCTAAATCTTAAAGCTATTTGAATTTTTTTCCTAAAATTCAAAGTCCTGATGTGCAAGTTCAATCTCATTTCCCTATCAGCATATTCTGATGAAAGAAAATCTGCATTGTTAATTAAGATTTGAATATTGTTGGTGGGGACCAAAGGAAGAGGAACTATATAACTGATTTATGATAAGGCTGTTTAATCCATTTCCATTCTTTGGATTATTGTAAGTTTGTCATACATTTATTGTGTGCCCTTGATGGGCCGAATCTTGGGT